ATAATATGACCTAGTATAAGTGAAAATCTTCATTGTCATCAAATGCTTATATGCTGTAGTGCTTTACAAAGCTTATAATGAATTAATAATATATTTATGATAATCAAGATTATATTCCATAAAATTTATTTATTGTTACCGTCCTTTATGCTTGGAACTAGGTAAGAAGATATGCATATTGATGTTTGGTAGCTTCCGAGCACCCATCAAAATAAGATCTACATCAAGTGCAAATCTCTCAAGGGCGAATATGAATTTTTTTTAATGTAAAATTTTATATTAATTTTTTTAAAGGTGAATTACAGAATGATAATTGTAGAAAAGAATGTACCTTGTAAGTTTTGTTTGTTCGTTCATCAAGGTTCTAATTATATGCAAACGTGCATAAAAAATAAATGAAAATATATAATTATTACGAGCAATTAAAAGAAATTTAATTAATTTTTTTTTTAAATAATTCTAGAAATATACCCCATTTTTTACATTAAATTCATTAATTAGGTATTAATATGAGTACATCAACTTTTAAAAGCATTTAACAAGAAATGCTAGAGAGAGAACAATAAATGCTACCGTGCAAACAAAATGCAAATTTCATTTGAATTATCTAACTTCGTCTTACTAAAGTTAAAAGATTGACGATAAATTTTTTTTTGATTTCCTTAAACCAGAAATTAGCCCTTTGCAGCCTTTCAATTTCTCCATCTAAGCGTCAATCCATGGCACTCCCTTTTTCTTATTCAGAAAATGAAATCATGACCCCTTGCAGCCTTCCAATTTCACTAGCTTGGGATCAATTTGGGGCTCATATCCTTCCTTATTTAGTACATGAATTCATGGCCCATTATTTTTTCTTTTTTTGTTTATGAATCCATGGAAAATTACATTTCTTACTTAGCAGCCCTTTAATGCTAAATTCTAGGCAATTTCAACATTTTCTATTAAGCTGGATGGTAAAGATCTACCATATTCAATTTTTTTTTTCCAGATATTTTAATTGCTGGGTTGCGAATTCCTTCGATAAATATATCAGTGACTTGACTATCAATTGAAAAGTGGCTTGAATGGTTGATTTGCCTTTTCATTCACTGGGTATTAATAAAAAGTTGCCTAAAAAATAATTGGAATCTATATAGTTATTAAAGAGCAATTACTATACATTTACAATTAGAAAAACTGCTATTTAGTAATGTTTGATATCTAACCCTTGAAGCCTTCTAAGTTTGTTATCTAGGGCACTTTCCTTATTCGGCACATGAAACCATAGCTTGATATCTTCCAATTGTGTCAGCTAGGGATCAATCCATGCCACAGTGCCCACACCATTCTTGTTTAGCTCATGAATCCATGTACAATTGCTTTCTTTATTTGTATATGAATCCACGACACTTTACTTAGCAATCCTTAGTTGCAATTCCCAGGTAATTTCAACAATATTGATAAAGTTCATAAAATTTTGATGTCCTTTCACTGCTATAATATGTTGCCAATGGTACATGAGAACTAAAGCTTCTTCTTAGAATTCTAGATTAAGGTTTGAAGGAAGTCATTAATTGGAGAGGGATAATTGAGGTATTAGTTGAGAGTGAGAAGGCAGTTTAGGATGTGGTTTGGGTGTTTTTCTATGTTTGAATAGAAAAAAGGGATGAAGGATTAGGCAACAAAAGGGATTAAAAGTTGTGAATTTTTTTAAATAGAGATGAGGGTACCAAGTGTAGAAAGAAATAGGGAATAGGATGATAGAAAAAATTAGTAGGTTGATTGAATGGGGTTGGATTGGGTTTTTTTAATTTAGTTTATTTGAATTTCCTAGAATTTAGAAAGGTAATTAGAATGTGAAATCTATCAACCCCGAGTTTAGGAGCTGGTTAAGAGGATTATATATATATTCCTTTTTTCATTTTCTCATTCTTCTTTTGGTTGACCTTTTCTTTTATTTTTGTAAGATGTTTTATGGCCAAATGACAAGGTAAAATTGTGCAAGGGGTTTGGGAAAATTGGTTACCAGCCATGGGCTTAAAAATGATTAAGTAGTTGTTATTGCTAAGAAACTAAGGAAATAAAATAAAAAAAAATCCATTGTAAGGCTATAAATTGGTGGCAAGAAAGCAACAAGTCCCTAAATTGCTCATGAATCTTGTTACAATTTACTAAAACAAATTAAATCAAAATGCACCCATCCTATTAAGTGGGGCGCTAAAAAAGGCTTCCGAAATCTTGGTTCCAGTTGTAATGTTTTTGTGAACATTCGGTTGATTATTTAATTTTCTAACTTGCATTCAATTTTGATTCTAAATTTGACCTTATTGATTTTAGCTAGCACAAATTGAATCAAATTAATTGAAATAGGTTGTGTAATCATCACATCTTATCTTCCTATGATGATGCTTTTGATGTACTAGTATAATTGTGCATGCACCAAGTACACATGGTTAAACCAAAAATTACTAAGAAATTAACATATAATTAGGGTTTATGATGCTGCTAGGGAAATCAAATTATGAATATAAAATAATGGGAAAGTTACTACATACCACTCAATTTTTATATATTTATATCTCTAACATCTAAAGTTTGATACTTGCATTTATAACCCTTTGATATTAAAAAATTATGCATGAAAATGAGTATTTCACTTTTAAAAAATTAGTAATAGTGATATTTTTAATGTGATGTAAAAAATTTGGGCGGTATGTATGAAAAGTTTAGGTGCTAGATATTAAATATATGAGAATTGTGTGGTGCGTACAAAAATGACCCAATAAAGGGAAAAATAAACGAGAGAAGAAAAAATGATACATGTACGAAGATGAAGGAGAGGGGATTGACTATCCATTTATTGAGCTTAGGAGTAGCTGGTTCTTCATTAAAAATCTCTCTCATAATTCATTGTAAGGCTATAAATAGGTGGCAAGAAAGCAACAAGTCCCTAAATTGTTCATGAATCTTGTTATAGTTTACTAAAAAAAATTAAATCAAAATTCGTCCATCCTATTAGGTGGGGCGCTAAAAAGGGCTTCTGAAATCTTGGTTCCAATTGTAATGTATTTGTGAACATTCGGTTTATTATTTAATTTTCTAAATTGCATTCAATTTTGATTCTAAAATTGAACTTTTTGATTTTAGCTAACACAAATTGAATCAAATTAATTAAAATAGGTTGTGTAATCATCACATCTTATCTTCCTCTGATGATGCTTTTGATGTACTAGTATAATTCTGCAGGCACCAAGTACACATCGATAAACCAAAAATTACTTAGAAATTAAAATGAATATCATTTTCTTTAAAAACTGTTTTTTTATATATTTCCTTTCTTCCAAAATAAAAGTTGAAGTGAATTAATAGCATATATTATTATTATTATTATTATTATTAATGTTGTTTGTTGTTATTTTTGTTGTTGTTGTTGTTGTTGTTTTGGAATATTATTAATGCAACAATGATATTCAATATTTTATTAATGATCTTCACTATATGCATTTTAATGATATTAAAACTCAGTGTAAATGAATTAACCACTAGGGACACATAATCTACAATGTATGCATTTACATATAATAATTTTGTTGATACACTTTAATAAAAATTTTTAGACATATTATCAAAAATTTAAATAATTTTTTGATAATACTTTTGTGTGAATTAATTTGATTGTTTTATTATACATATTAATAAAATTTATAAAATTAATAAATTTTACCATTTTTACCTTATAAAAGTAACATGGCTTTCAATGTTAACAACACAAAAATTTCATGAAGTAAAGATATTGGATTCACATTATCTCTTTACATTTTGTAGTTATTATGTAATGCATGAAATGATTGCAGATCATTAAAATATTGTCTACTACAATCACTATTATTTTTATGATATAGAACAAAAAAAAAAACTGCATTTTTTATAGACTGCATTTTTTATAGAAATTTCATTGAAGTAAAGATTTTGCTCTTGATATTGAATTCAAAATTGCATCCATTTAAAGCATAAAAGTCCTCCAAATCTTCGGGCAATAAGAATGCATCTCGGTCTATACCTAATTGGGAAAGTAAATAATAGTTAAAGAAGATAAAAGTTAAATTTACAGTGCAAAGATAGCATAAAGGAAATAAACTTCTTGTCTCATTACCCATTCAAGCTACAATCAAACTATATTAACACACTTTTGGGAATTAGATTGACAGGAAAGCTAAACAAGAATATAAAAAAAATTAATTGATGAAGTTTTTATGCTCACATGATTTGACTTATTATTTCAAAATAATTTCATCATTGAAGTTCTCTGAATATAATACTACTTTAAATGAAGAGTTATGATATCCAAGGTTATTTATTGAAAATCGAGATTAACTTTTTGGTATTCTTATGAGTCTTTGTTTTTCTCATATATGTTCATAAAAGTGATTTTATTCTTTCAATTCTATCTCTTAGAATTTTATGCAACCCTTGTTCCTAAAAATTGAAAGATTAGAATCGTATATTGCAGAATAACACGTCACTTTTTAAATAGTAACATATATTAGCTTTCTTTCAGGTTGTTGCTTCGTTCCACTTTTTGGCTACAATCATATCGGTCGCTATCTATTGTTTCTATAGCTTCAGTTGTTAAATTCCAATGTTTGCCTTGTGATTTTTTAGGGCCATTTACATACATACCATCCAATTTCTATGTACTCACATGGCTAGCACCTAAACTTTAATTTTTCCTTTTGTTCCACCCAAATCTTGCATATCACATAAAAAATGCCACCATTTCAACTTTTAAGAAATGAAATGCACTTTTTCATGCATGTAGGTAATGCGGTATGTATGTAAAAAAATGAAGTTTAGGTTTTAAATATGTAAATACATATTAATTGAGTGGTATGCATGTAAGTCTTCCTTTTCTTTTAATTTTTTTTTTTTTATTTTGATATTTGTCTGTTCTTTTTGACCTCAAAACAGATATGTACATGCAGAATTTTGATATTTGTCTTTTCTTTTTGACCTCAAAACAGATATGTACATGCAGACCTGCATGGTGCTTCAAGCACCGTGATCAAGAATCATAGGCCTGAAAACCCCATTCCACCTCTTACTTTAAATCAAGCTGGATGCTTTACTGTAAGTTTAATTATTTGCTTTTAACTTGTAAGATACCAATGGAGAAAAGTGTTAAAATGATCCTATGACTTTTTGTAGGGGGCTATTTTAGTCCCCGATCTAAAAAAATCCAATCTTGTTCTCAGGCTCTTTTAATGGAGGTTGAAATAGTAAAAAATTGTCCTTCCTGGGGGCTAATTTTGGCACTTTTGTAGATTCTGGGACCAAAATAATCCCATGTAAATGGTCAAGGAATTATTCTAACACTTTGCTTGATACCAATACTCAAATTTTTGAAATTTGGGTGGTTCTTTCATTTATTCATTGTTATGAATCTAACTTCACTTCAGCCCTATGATAGCTTCGTCCGATAGATGCTTTGAAATTCAATAATTTCTTATCTCGCAGGTATGTCACAGCCAAGCATGGGACTCGAAGATAGTTACGAGTGCTTGGTGGGTTTATCCTCATCAAGTAAGCAAAACAGCTCCTACCGGAGAGTATCTTACAGTTGGTAGCTTTATGATTCGCGGCAGAAAGAACTTTCTACCTCCTCACGCTCTTGTTATGGGATTTGGAATTCTATTTCGCTTGGATGAGAGCTCCCTGGGATCTCATTTAAATGAAAGAAGGGTGCGAGTAGAAGATGAAGGTGTCCCCGAGATGGAAAATGAATCACATAAGGAGATTAGTGAGTCTGATTCAATTGAAGAAAATGTTGATGAGGTTTGTGGAGATGACGGTGATGCTCCATCTAAGCTAGGTACTATTCATCATGAAGTCGAGAAAAGCTTTTATGATGAAACTGGCACTATGAATAATGTGAAGGCAACAGATTCCCAAATCTATGACCACTTCAATGATCAAAAAAGTTTTGATTTGGATGAAAGAGGAAAATGTTCTACTTCGTCTCAACTTGATGATATAATTGATAAAGCTCTCGGTGTTGGACCTACAAAACTATTACATAAAGATTCAGGAATCACTAATAATCTATCAATTTTACCTGAGGATCACCAAGGGATTAAGAGTTCAGGTCGAGATAAGCCTTACATGTCGAAAGGAGAAAGGAGAAGGTTGAAGAAAAACCAGAAAAGCGGCAGCATTGCTGAAAACGACTCGTTTGAGCAAGGAGAAAATGGTCAATGTAGCACATCCAGTAATAGCCATCAGACTTTGAAACCAGCTAATGCAAAGATTGCTCGTGGGCAGAGGGGTAAACTCAAGAAGATCAAGGAGAAGTATGCAGAACAGGATGATGAAGAGAGAGAAATTCGCATGGCTTTACTTGCGGTGAGTTACATGACAAAGTTAAACATAGAGAAATTGGCAAATGGTCTTCTGACTCTTTGTTGGAGGTTATTTTACTTCCAAAGTTTATAAAAGTGCCAATTTAGTAATTAGACTCTTTTAATGGGGCAAAAATAGTCATCTCTCAGGACTTTCTCAGCTAATATTAAAAGAATACGGGGATTAATTTAGCACTTTTATAGACTCCGGGATTAAAATAACCACATATAAATAGTCAGCGAACTATTTTGGCACTTTACCCATTGAACATTTTAGTGGTAGGATTTGCTGCCTTTTTTTTTCAAGTTTTTGGTGTACTCATTCTCCTTTACTTCATTTAGTCAGCGGGAAATGCTCACAAAAATGAGAAAGAAGCCAATGATCATGATGGCGCTGCAGGCAGAGCAGTCAGGCCAATACCTGGTACTTCAGTTCTAAATTTTGTGTGATTTGCACTTTCATAGAAACGCACACTGAAAAAAATCACGTGGTTGCATATAAAATTAGATGCTTGATTTTGTAATTAATACACCTTTTACGTGCATACGTATATCATTGATGATATGTTTGATTCTATTTTTGTCAGGAATGTATTTCATTGGGAATCCCCCAATTCCTATGTATCTACATATCTAACACCTAAACTTAAGTTTTGACATTTATACCAACCAAATCTTTCATATCACATAAAAAATAACACCGTTTTAATTTTTAAATACTTTTTTTCATGCACAAGTAAGTTGGCATGTATGTAACATTTGAAATTTAGGTGTTAAATATGTAAATACATATGAATCAAGTGGTATGTGCGTAATTCTTCCATTTTTTTTTCTTTGCTCAACATTTGCCTTTCGGGCTTTTGAATCTCTTGGGAATTGTCTGAATTAAGTGAATGCAAGGCCAATGCTCTCTCTTTTCTTGCATGCTTGTTATCTCTTGATTCAAAGTATGCACTGTGAACTTTGAAAATTTCCGCATAAGGACAAGTTTCACGTCAAAAAATTAGATATTATTACTGCATAAATCGGAAACAGCATCGTAATATATTTAGAAATTATGTGTTATTTATTTTTAGATTAGACTAGCTTGAGACGATTTTTTTAGAATTCCAAGCTGACCTTCAATATGACCGGAAAATATTGTCCAATCCTGCAAGCAAACTAGACCAGATTGTTCCAATGGATCTGATTATATTAAATTGCAAAATTAATAAATTTTGAATTCTATAGGACGAGGAAGTGATTCATAAGGCAAATGATGATTATCAAGCAGTACTCAGGTGTAAAAGACCTACTTCAGTCTATTTTAGCTAGGACATATATTCGAGAATAGCAGTATCAAGCAGTCCTAAGGTGCAAAAGACCTACTTCAGTCTATTTTAGCTAGGACATACGACTTAATTCCTATGTCTTTACATGTCTAACACCTAAACCTCAATGTTTACATTTAAGTCATCTTACCTATGCATGAAAATTTTTAAAAGTTAAAATAATGATATTTTTTGATGTGATATGAAATATTTGAGTGGTATAAATATAAAAAGTATAGTTTAGGTGTTAAATATGTAAATACATATAAGGTTGTTGGTATATGTAAATGCCCCTCTTGGAAACCAAGTGCCTATAAGCAAGTCTCATGTTGGAATGATCCGATTAAACCTTGAATGAATTTGTAGGACTCAATTATTTTCTTTCTAAATCGAATTAAATGCTTGCATTAATTTTGACTATTATCTATATGAGTATCTCATGTTGATATGTTTTGAACAAACGAAGCATGGATTTTGAATATAACAATTTTGACCGTTTAAGTCTTTAATCTTAATATTACTTGTTTGCATGTCTCTCAAATCAAAAGTTTATGTCGTTGTATGCTTTTGTTTAATTCCATTTTTACATATAAAGTTTTGTTAGAAGTGTCTTTTCAAGCTTGTTTATGATGAACATTTCTACTTCTTGGTTTTGGTGCCCCCTTTGGAGAGTGGGTGATGCTTTTCTTAGAAATCCAGTAGGAATTAAGTCCATTTGGTAGTGCTATTTTGTAAACAGTCTTCATCATCACAGTCCTAATACTCAACTATTTGAGGTTGGCTTTGTGAATTTACATTCTCCATTTATATAAATTAAGTGTTGCACGTGGTTCTAATTTCTTTTTCGCGGAACCTTTTGTATAAATTTTTCCAAAGACTATTCCATTTTTATTCTTTTTAATTTGTTGGCATTAATTTCATGAAGCTTTACATATATGACCCTGATGTCTTATCTGTTTAGAAAATTAATACTCAATTGCCTCCCTTTATGATAATATCAGCCAAATAACACCAAACTATATTTTACTTTCATAACATTCTCAATAATTTGATTTTAGCTATCAAATAGACGATTTGTTAGTTCATTTCAAAAACCTTGGTGTGAGTTTAGTAAATAAGTCGGTTTTAGGTGATGTATGTTTAAATTAACGGTTAGTTTTTGGGTAGTTTCAGTTATTTGTAATAGTTGTGCAACTATTATGGGAAAAACATTATTTTTGAAAGCTATTATGGACATTTTAAATTCTTTTTTTATAGAGATGGACAAAGTAGTACTACACTGGAGCTGATCTAGCTGTAAAAAGTAGATTCTAATCATAGAAATTTCTAAAAATCAATGAAATTTGGCCAAATAAATCCGTGTCAGTTTTCTAGAAAGCAAAGCTGGGAAAAGCTAGCTCAAATGGGCCTTAGGCTTCGTTTGGGGCAGCTTAACCGTTACGGCAGTGTTTTGAAAACGCCGTCTCACTGTTTGGAAACTGCGTTTGAGCAGCTTATCC